CTAGAGCTGCGGCGCAGCTTTTTTTTTATATATTTGCTACAATTTTTTTTATCTTTCCTCGCGCTCGAGCTTATACGATCCCATATTGCGCACGCTATGATGTACACGCTATATTTATCCGACGCCCGTACGAGCGGATACGGCGTTTGCCTCATTTTTTCCTCTTCATTTTTTAATAGTTATTAATGTGGGTGCGTTGCACGTGCGCTACGATACGTGTATTATATATGCTGATCGTTGTTCTACGCTTGTATACCTGAGTTTTCACTCGGCCAATCTGATCGTCGAAATCGTTATGTATATCTCGACGATCGGCGCATATGTAGTTTTCAATATGCAGTCTACTTACGGGTCTTCCGGCCGCGATCGATCCGCAGATTGTTAGCGATACCAAGTCGACGAGCTGTTATCTCGACCTGTCGATCGTTAACTCGTACTCGTGTACGAGCGCGCGAATTGAGGAGCTTATATAGCGCGAAACGACATCCATCAAAATTTACGCGTCACAAGCCCTCTCGATTTCAATTCGGATCACATACGCAGCTTCTTCTCATTGCTATATTCGAGATAAATCATCATCAAGCGGTCGGGAATAAGAAATTCTCGTCGGTAATTATCCACCCGTATCTGTGCATTTGCCTCCCTTCAATTACACATGCGGACATTGATATAAAGTCGAAAGAATACATTCATATGCCGCACAACTCAAGATCAGCGTGTAAAAGTTCGCGATCGTGACTCGCACTTTTTCGCGGTTGGTTTTTTCGTCTCGCGGAGAAACCGATAATCCTCGATAATAATCTCGATATTTGCTCTTTCCTTGGGCCATAACTCGCGACGTATAATCTCTCCCGCTTCTTTTTCTCTTTGCTCGCGTGCGTGCGCCCAAATTGAAAGGGCTCAGTTATTTGGCCGCGATGCATGAACCGACGCGTGCGCGTATCAACAGGTCAGAACGCCCGCGGACTTTTGGCGCGCGAACGACCTCTCTCTCTCTCGCGGTTCGTTGCTGTACACTTGTCCGCACCGTCGACTTTTTTTTTCTCTCTCTCTCGTTTTCTCCGCCTTCTTACTTCTCGCGCTCGATTTATTCGTGTGGTTCAGTGACACATACTCGTATAAGCGCACGCCACCGCACCACAGGTATGTGTGTTTGTGTGTCTGGCTCACAGATACACGTGCGTGTAAACGTGTCTATATGCGTATGTATTTTGCGGGCTCGAGGTAAGATCGGAGGATATCCCATTGCCCCGCGAGATCGAGAGATCGTGAACGATATTGACTTTGGTTATCGGAGTACACGATCTCTCGCCTGGCAAGTGTGTCTTTACGCTGCACACATACATACGTATATATATATATAGCATAGGCGTAGAGCCGTATAATCGATTTTATTCAAACAGCCGTTACATTTGGAGTTTGTGGGTCCGAAACGTATGTAGTAGGTGTGCGCGCGCGTTAGAATCGATCGAGAGGGTGGAGTATACAGCAGTAAAGGCGCGCTCGTATACAAGCTCGAATATAGGTTCATTTGCAGGATTTTCTTTTTTTTTCGGTATCCAGCTCGCGACCGCGTAATGACCTATATCGTAGGCGCTGGCGTAGGCATAACTTTTAACTATCGTTGTATCCTGGAAAGTAACTGCGCCCCGACTAATCGATACCCGAGATCGAACGCGACGCTTGTATATATACCCGCGAAACGTCGTCGTTCATGCGCGTACGTCGAGTTATTTTATTAAAGACGGAAGCTCGTATTGAAATGCCAGTAAAAGCTGCCGCAATACCGCCTGGCATATCTTCACGAGGATGATACTACTACTATGTGTACACTGTAGTAGCGTAGCGCAGCGAGAGAGAGAAAAGAGTGCAATAAACGCGCGTAAATACCGTCCACGCCGCCGCCGATGCAACCGAGCGCTGCTGCTGCTGCTGCTGCTGCTGCTGCCGCTGCGTTCGCATCTTTAACGCGGAATTCAATTGCTTTTTTCTTCTTACGATTTTCTATAATGCGCGCGAGCCGAGGCCGCCGCCACGCGAGAGCACCTATAAATATTTCTCCGGGGCAATAATTTAGTGGGAGTCCGATGAACGCAAAGAATAAGACAATTTATAACGCAGTCATACGCTCGAGCAAGAGAGAGAGAAAGAGAGAGAAAAGAGGAGGAAGGGAGTCAAAGTAAAGCAATCGAAATCAAATCTCTCCCTCGCGCAGAAGCTCTCGATGAATATATATCGTGACCTAACGATAATAAAACATATCTTTTCGCAATTATAACTGCACCGCCGGACTTCTAATATATGCATTTTATGCGTTATACGGCGTGCACTCGGCGCAGCGCATGCCATACATAGGCGGCGTCGGCGGCAGCGGGCTCGACCGACAAGAGAGAGAGAGAAATTTTTCAGTCCAGAGATCGGCATGAGTTTCGCACCGGGGGAGGATTTACCGGCCTCACCTTCCGCGCGAGCTGAAATTACATCTGCTAATTTAACGTGCGCTGTATATGCTCTCTCCAGCTCGAGCCCGTGCTATGCATACAAGCGCGTGTGTGAGTGTGTGTGTGTACGGCGGATATTTCGTATAACCTTCTTTATATCGTATACGTACGTGATCGCGATCGATGCTGTATAAACACCTACGTGCGCGCTTGACCGGCCGACCGACCGACCGGGGCATTATGTGCGAAAATCGACTTGAAACGCCCGAAAATCGATGCGCGCGTGGAGCCGAATAAAAAAATGCATCGTACCTACCAGTTATGTAGGTAAGAAGCGAGCGTGAGAATTTCGAGCGGATCTTAGATGAAATTTTTAACGTAGGGTTTCCGCGTGTGATTGCTCCGTCGCGTCGATCCTCTCTCGTGCGCGCGGATCGCTACATATATAAGCTCCGATTTCTAAAATTTAATTGCGATTTTGAGATACAGCCGGAAAACACGCGCGCGGCGCGAGCTACCAGATAAATTAACGCTCGCGCGTGAATGCAGATTTTTTAACTTTGGATATACTTTCTCTCTCTCTATTTTCCTCGCGAGCTCGGGTGCGTATTTTTATAAATAAGAACGAACGTCGATGGCACTGCGCCCGAGCAACAAATACATAAATTTTTATTATATGCACAGATTCGAGAAGTAATTCACGTTTTTTCCCCTCCTCTCTCCCTCTTGCGACTATGCACATACGCACCCGTGTTTTTAAGTCAAAAGAGTCAATGCGTATACTTATGCGTTTTTACCGCTCGGTATACACACCGAGAGTCGTAAATTCTTCAGCCGTGAGATTCTATACTCAATGAATCTTCCTCGTCCGCTGCGTCGTCCAAACGTCATAACGCATACGCGTGTGCGCGTGTATTTGTACGAATCGTCGGTAGGTATGCGTTCCCTACCCATGTAAATGGAGTAATTACAAATTCGCGTGCATACGCAGAGACGAATATTATACGTGACATAATTTTAAAATCTACATCTGCCGCTCGTATACGATTTAAAGACAGTTATCATTGCACGATTTGTGTGCCTTTCGAATTTATGGATACTCCTCATTACGAACAACATTAATCAAATCGAGCTTGAGCGCGGCGCGGCCTCGTCGATATATAATATGTACGAATTTAAGCATCGAGGGCGAAAAAATTGAGACGCGACATTGCCCGGGCACTTCGGTTGCAGGTTGCGTTCCGCGCTGCAGAAAATATGTTTTCCTCGGAGATCTGGAAACGATCGACATCCTGTCGTGTATTAAGCCATTATACGGAGAAGAGGAGCTGCCAATGGTATTTTTTGTCATTGATCGCTTGCACGGATGCACACGATTGAGGTACACGAGTGAACTTTCGAAAGTTATGTATCGAAAACGCGATTTTCATATTTTAGCATTTTATTAAAAAGGTATATACATTTCAACGAACTGCCATTTTCGAGCGTTTCAAACAAAAAGAAGCCCACGCACGACCGACGCGAATATTTTCTCGAAATGAATTAAATATGATCGCGACGCTCTTCGAGATCGAGAGCGTGACTCTCCGACGGGGGTGCCGAAAAAACTGCGAAACTTGACGCTTCTCGCGATGCCTCGCGCGCGCGCACCTCGCAGCAAAAACAAATACACGTATGATATATACAATTATCCTCGCTCTCTGCTTTATTGAATTCATAAGGGATATAAAGATTTTTCTCGCTTATGGCTTGCACTCCCTCGTCATCGTCGTCGTCGTCATCGTCTTCGTCAACTCCGCGCGAATTCTTCCACGAATCATTAAATTTCGATATCAAAAATTTTTTCTTCTCCGAAGCGTCAAGTTATTCGCTTCTCTCACCTTTTATTTTTTGGCACTTTATGTATTTCATATTCTGATGCTGCTGCTGGTGTCGAGCGTCGATGATCGTGTTCACGCGCCGTATACGATAAATACGGCTTTGTCCCTCGAGGCTCTGCTGCGGTGCTGCAGTTTTTGCACTATAACCACGTTGTGGGATGTGTTATATTATTTCTGATCATCGTGCGTATCGCGAGAGGTGTCGACGAGCCAAACTCTCGGTATTCGCCTGCCCCCCCTGTATAGTACGTATCAATGGAAATAATTAAGAGCCAAGTCAGAATTTTTAAACGCGTCGATTTACGTTTTTTTTGTCAAGCTCGAGACACATGAGCAAGAGAGCAAGATGAACAGTTTTGATGAGACGACCGTGTAATTTTATTCAGTTTGTGCAGGTATATATAGAGGCACTGCGCGTTCTATTAAAATGAAACATGTTTCGCCATTCACGGAGTTTTCGTGCATTGTTCGAGTCTAATCTCGTTTTACTCTTTTATCTTACACATCTTTCGTCCTATCTGTAGGAAACAAAACCGAACGAAACTAATTTTGAAGCAACTACCATCATTGATGAGATAGTGCATGTTTACTTTTTTTTTCACTGATAATCTCGAGACACGCTACACTCATCTCTCAGTTCAATTGTAAGAGTTCTCGAGTAGAAGTCTGTAGAGTCATCATGGATTTTATAAAAGTGTTGTTTTTTATATTTATAACCCGTGAAGTTCGTGCACAATTTGTGGATGTCAGTGAAGTAATTTTCCCGCTCGAAAATCCAGATGATTATTCGCCCGAATATTCGATCATCAAAGCTCAAATGAAAATTAGTTTTTCTATTGAAGATAGCATTCGACGCGTAAGAAATGCAACGGCTTATCAAGAAAGACAGAAAAGTAATCAAATTCAAGTTTTCGATTTTGTGAGTATACCTAATACAAGAAATGAATTTTTTAGAAAGATTGAGATATTTTATTGAACGTATAATTTTCAACTTATTTTCAGGTTGGTTTAGTTCAGCAGTACGAAGGTTACGTTGCTGAAGAGCACACGGTGACTACTTTGGATGGATATAACTTAATTCTGCATAGAATTCCAAGAAGCAATACACCTCAAATCAGCAATCAAACCCAAGTAGTTTTCATACAACATGGATTGTTTTTGTCATCCGATGCTTTCGTTTTGCAAGGCCCAAACAAAGATCTCGGTGCATATAATTTTCTAATAATGCATGTAATTGAAAATTTATGTTTAATGAAAATGTATTGTTTTTCCAGCGTTTCGACTAGCAGATAAAGGTTATGACGTTTGGTTTGGAAATGCCAGAGGTAATGCATACTCACGTTCGCATAAATTCTACAATCCAAACCACAATGATTTTTGGAGATTTAGGTGTGTGAGCTCATTAAAATGAAAAAATTGTAGTCTTTCGCTTCATCTAATTTATATTAAAACTTTTTTTCACCGAAGTTTCGACGAAGTTGGCCGGATCGACTTCAAATATTCCATCGATTACATATTGTCTGTAACAAAGACGTCACGATTGACCATAATCGGTTACTCCATCGGAGCGACGGAGTCATACGTATTTCTATCGGAGCATCCGGAATACAACGACAAGGTAAATCTGTTGATCAGCGTTTCACCTCTAGGATTTTGGTCCAGACCAACACCCGAGGAAAAGGAGAAAATATACGGCATCGCCAAGCAGATCGATCTGGTTCGAAAAAAAACTCACAAGGAAGAGATGTACCCATTGACCTCGTTTACGCAGCAATTCTGGAAAAATCTCTGCTCGCCCGACAACGATCAAGAATCTCAGGATGTATGCGATTTTGTGGTAAACAGTTTCTTTGGATCCATGAATACCACTTACGAAAAGGTACAGATTCTGAAAATAGAAATATTTAATTACGCAGATGAAGTTCAATTTGTTTATTTGTTCTTTTAGGATCTAATTAAGCGTATCATGCAATATATACCAGCTGGAACATCAGCCAAGACTCTGCTGCATTTATTGCAAACCATGGATCATGGTAATTGAATTCATTTATCAACTAACTTTATCATCATTAATGATATTGAATTCTAATGCACAGGAACATTTAAAAAGTATGAGCATAAAATTGGCACTGCTAAAAATTACAACTTGACAGCCATTACCGTTCCAACGGCAATTTTCAGCGCGTGCAATGATCAATTCGTCATTCAAAAGGTAACTAAAAAAAAACTAAATCGTTTTATTGTAATTTTATTCAATTTATTTTTACGTTTAGGACTGTGCAACTTTGAAGGCATCCATACCTAATTCTGTGATTTTTAAACTCTTTAAAAACGAAACTGTGAAAATAGACTATTTAGATTTATTGTGGCATGAGGATATTGACATGATCAACGATTCGATTTTGAAGTTATTGTAATTATTATAAAGAACAACCCAACGCAAATAAGTAAATATAAGTTTATATAACATATTTGTGAATTATTTATTTGAAGAAATCAAATAGATTTACAGCATAACAAGATAAAAATTCCTTCAAACAGAAAGCGCTAATACCTCTTGCTTCTTCAAGTTTCTCTTTTGATTTTTTGGGCATCATTATAAATCCGCCTATCGCGAATTCATACCCGGCGTCGGCGTACACGAACACTCCCCGCGCGTCACATAAGCCCTTTTACGAACGATTCTTCTCCTCCTCCACCGCATATCAAGTTTATATTTTTTACACGTGCCCGCGAAAATACGTTGACGCTCGTCGAGCGCGTCGTGCGCCACTTCTGCAAAGAGATTTTTAATTCTAGATTTAAGTCGTTCCTTTATTTTTCTGACGATGCATCCTCCGGCACACGTTTTTCATGGAAGACAATAATGCTTAATGAAAGCGCATTGTCGGATTTTTGATAATTATTGGGTTGCATTATTCACGAGGCCATCACGACTCGGTGCCGTCGTTGTCGCCCCTTAATGTCTTCGGAGTTGATTTTTTTGACCAACCACTTGTGTACCTTGAAGTAAAACAATGAGCGCGAGATCGAGGACAGTTCACAAATTATTATTACTTTACACACTCGAAAATTAATATCAAAGATTATAATAATGTCGAAAAAATTATTATTACATCGTTGACCATTATTTTTTGTGTGCATAAATTTTTAAATCAACGAGTGTGAAAAGCATCAGTGAGAAGTATTATTATGACATTAAAAGATATCATCGATTCGCGGCAAAAAATTTTTACCCTCGGGACAATGCGAAATTTTAACTCTCTCGGCACCGCGCGCGGCACGACCTGGCGTATACGAGGCGCGCAACGCGGCATCGATCAACAATTAATGTAACGCACGACGAGGAACGAATTTTCATTCATCTTCGCTCGTGAGAAGTCCTATAACGGTTCAATCGACTGCAATATATCATGTATATAAGGGGACTGGAAAAGATTAACAACGAACATTAGAGGTATCCGCGCGCGACGCATCGTACAGCGACGACGATCGTAATCTTTCGCGCGGGGCATTCGTTGGTGGCGTTGGCGAGCGCGTGAAAATTACCGCGAAAACTAATCGATAATTTAGCGCGCGCGTATTTCGAGCGCAGCGGACAACAAAGCAGCGAGCGAATTAACGAGCGGGGTGGTCGTATTAATACGCATGCCCACGCGAGAGACTCGCACCAGCGCAAAAGAGAAAGAGATATACGCAAGCGTGTGTGTGCGCGCGAGTGCATAGCACCTGCATAAACGTAACGGTACGTGGTAATTGGGTCCTCCGATCTCTTCTCTCTCTCTCTCTGTCTTTCTCTTTCTACCGAGAAAAAGTGACACTTTTGATAAGACCAACATAAATATGCCGCGCGACCGACCGTTTCGGTATGAGTTTGCGTATCAAAAAACTACACACTTTGTTTCGTTCGAAACTGCTCTGCTTATGCCATACGCATATAATATCTTTGCGGTTTCACACTTTTTACCAGATGATCGTCTTCTTGGTCGTCGTCGTCAGAGAAGAGGCGGCTCGCAGCGGGCGTGTTACATGCGGCGCGCGGAAACCTTATTAAAATTAATGCTCCCGCCGCGAAGGTGGAAAAAAGGAATTTCGCAAAAGTGCGCGGAATTTTTTCCGCTCGCTCTCTCGTCGAGCTCCCATATCGACGACAAGTGAAAGCCTAAGAAATATCGGTATTGTCTCAGCTGATGGTTTTTTTCTTCTTTCGTCGTCGTCCTCTCCGTATTATGCGCTCTTTCGACGATCGTTATTATTCGCGCATACATGTGCTTCTTCAGCAGCAGCTGGGCAGGGTTTTTACGCCTGCGATGACGAGTGCGCGAGCCCAAGAAAGAGAGAGAGAAGAAAAAATCGTCGTAAAATTTGGAGTTTTACATTATTATTACACATATAGAAATAAAAAGAAGCTTTACCGTTTTTTCGTTGTACGGAGAGCCGTGTGCGCGTACCCGCGATATTTCGGCAGAGAAAGGATAAACGCGCGTGCATACTTTATTACGAGATTCCGGTGATATTTTGCGCGACAAACTACGCTAGATCGTAAAAAAGTTTATGCTCTTGTAAAATGATAAAATTAACCAATAATTCAAATAAGTATTCAATGTCGCGCGCGCCACGAGAAACGGCCAAATTGTGTAAGTGCACACCAGCGTGCCACCATCACGCATGTACGTATATATGGCAGAAAACATGATTGATATCAATAACGCGGGCGTAAATTATTTCGTATCCAACGAGGCGCGCGGGAATTATAAAATTTTTACGAGATACGATGTTCGCACGCAGAAAAGAGGCACGATGATTCCGTTGCTGCGCACAGCTGACTTTTTGATTTTTCAAAACTGCAGCAGGACGTGAGCGAGCGAGCGAGCAAGCACGAGAATAAAGTAGAGATATTAGAATGGAGCTGTCACACGGCATGTGGCGGACGCGCGCGCGGCAAACTTGTCACCCGAACCCGGAACTAAGTCTTCTCGCGCGCGAAGAAGGCGAATAGTTATATACAGAGAGAGAGAGAGAGAAAAAATCTCCTTACACAAATGTCCGATAAAAAACGTCTCGACGCTCCCTTCTCGCTCTGTACATTAACGCGCCGCACACACCTCCTCCACCGAGCGAGCGAGCTGAGAGTGACGCGCGAGTCTATGCCTCTTCGATGACTCTTGTCTCTCGCTGCGCACGTATATAGTTCCCGCGCTCATAAACGCATGCGTCCACGTCGATGCAATTTGCGCCCGTTGTCGTTCCTCGTCCCGATTCGTAGAAGCGCGTGTACGCGACGCCAACAATGCAGCCAACGCCGCCGCCGCCTGCCTTCTTAGCTTCAGGTGTGTATATAGGTACTAACATGCACGGGGACTTTTCCAGGCTTCGGTCTAAATACGGAACGCGCGGCGGCCTTCTGCGAATGGACGTCTTTACAGGCCGGCGCGCGCATTGTCAGCGAGCCCCGAGGCATTTTTCTCTCCCTCGCCGCGAGTGTAGCGAGTACAGCAGCGTAGAGCTATGGCTTAGTATTATATATGTACGCGTGCGTGAGTGACTGCGCGAGACAGAAAGAAAAATTTAAATGCAGAAACGAGTGTCGATTGATAATTGCTATTTAGAGCGAGCGTGCGAGAGAGAGAGAGAGAGGGGAGTAATGGCTCGTTGCGTCCGTCCGACGAGGGCATATAAGTATATGAAAAACAAAGTGGTATGTAACGCGCGCGCTTCGGAGGATCTCGTTTAACATACTCGATGGCTTATACCGTGTGCCAGCCGACTGGAAGCCGATACCATATACCGATCGTTTTTCCGTTTTTTTCTCTCTTCCTTATTTTACTGTCGTCGTCGTCGTCGTTGCGTTGTTGCCGATTCGAGAGAGTTTACGAGTGTCTTGAAAGGATATTTTCTGCCTCGCGCGCGCAAAACCACCAACGCGAATATTTCGTACCGATTATATACACCTATAAAGTAGACGACACGAGCCGTCCGAAAATTGCACGGTCTGCGATCTCGGCCTGGCTCGCGATAAGCGATAAATCTCGATTACCTGCGGCTGCAGCGGCGACGGTTCTCCCCGCACGTATACACGTTTTGCGCCTGCCTGTTTCCGAATCCGAACCAAGTGCGCCAGCACACGCAGGGCCAATGCACACGTGCACACTGTATGTATGCACTACAAGCGTCGTACAGTCCGCAATTAGTGTCAAGCCCGAGCTGATCGATCGTTCGTTTCTCGCGACGACGTATTTTCTTTGTCGCGCGAGCACAAACCCATAAAACCCTTCGATCCTGAAGTAAACTCAACGCATCACCTGCACCGACTCTCGATCTTCGGCACTCGTGCCTCCTTACCTGTTGCGTGTATGTATATAAGGCCATATACCTGTAGGATATGTGCTTGTGTGTGCTCGTGTCGTGCGACGCAGTGATGCGTTGAGTAATTACCGGATCGACCGAGCGAACCGATGCTCGAGAGTCGGCGTCGCGAGGCGTGATATTAATACGAAATAGATGAAAATTTGCTCTTCTCTTTCTCTAACCCGCACCTATACCCATGTACAGAGAGCAAATATATCTACATCTACTTGCCTCGTTGCTTTACATGCCAGCTGCAATTGATGCACTTGCGTCGCGTCCTTTTTTCTTAATTGTCGCGTATATGCGCAAGGATCGTTGCACTCACATATGCGGCCCGATATTGTTTTTGCTCTATTCCGCGTTGCGTCGATCTCGATCTCTTTCTATATACAGCGCCAGGTCTATATACATTATAACGTACGTGATCGCTGATCCTTGCGTCTCGCGACACGATCGCGACGGGGACAAATCGCTCGCGACTCGATAATCGGAAATTAATGGGGATTCCCTTACTTTTATGTATCGCTGCATGGATAATTCCCGCGGCAGATTGAAAAATGTTCAATGTCGTTATTAGTTTTTGCAGAAACAAACGAGATCTAAAAGAACGTATACGTGACGATCGGCAGCTATTTATAACGACTTCAGGGTATAATATGATTCGGGTACACGCGATTCGAGGTACAAGCCACCTATTGGTCAATGGACAATACCAAATCGACTATTTCTCGACTACCAAATCCGCGATAAAATCTAAGCTGCGTAGAAATTGTACGTCGCGCGATGCGTATTACCGCAGCTAAAACGCACGCGGGTCAGACAAGATATGCCCCCTTACACGTGCTTGCGCAGGTATTATCGCGCGACACGGCCGAACGTAGGGACTGCTGCTGCGGCTGCTGCTGCTGTTTGCGGAGCTGAAAAGACAAATCGCTTGTAGAAAACGTCAAGCCTCCGTTTGTCTTTTCTGCGGTCGGTCGCCTGCATTTGTATGTATTATGTGTACGTGCGTGACATCGATTTGTATACGTGATAAGGGGCTACCGCTGCCGCCGACGCCGACGCCGCCGCAGTCGATCGGTATACCCTTTAGGCAGCTCGTCGTCGTCGTCGTCGTCGTCTTGGGGCAGCTGCTGCGCGCGACGTCGTGCGTTTGTTTCGCTGATCGCTCGAGAGTAAAGGGACTGTCTCATCCAATTCGAATAAATGATCGGTAAATGCATACGTATAAGCCCGGAGTCTTCCTTCTTCGTTGCTGCTACTGCTACTGCTACTGCTTCTTCTTCTTCTCCTTCTCCTTCTCCTTCTTCTTCGTCTTCGTCTTCGAGTTCTTTGCGCTAGTAAAGGTAGTATAACGTATATAAAAGAGTGAGAGAGAGAGAGAGAGAGAGAGAAGGTGATGGATCACCGCCTAGTAGCCAAATAAGATCGATTCGCTAGTTTATTTATACACGTACAAAATAGAGATCGGTAAAGATTATTCAGCGACCGGTAATGCCATACGTGATATTGTGTGCTGTTGTGTCTGCTGCCCGGAGAATCTGTTGAATTAGTCAGTACGAGCACGCATTATAATCGCGATAAATCGTCTTTTTTGTACATTACACGCATCGCGCTTTATGTATGGTGAGAGAAATCACTATGTTTTATTTCAACATATATATGAAGCAGCAGCCATACCAATGATAAAATGTATGAGAAAATTTGCTGCTGTTGCTGCCGGTGGCTTCACTAATTGTAGCGAACGAGCAGCCCACAAAATTACAGTGCTTATACGCATATTAATATATGCGCTTGAAAAATAAAAATCGCTCTTCGCGGGAGGAGGAGGAATAATATCGTATATTGTAATCCATTGCGGTAGTCATGAATCCGAACGTATTCTTGTAATTTGAAAAATTCATAAATGTTGTTGTTTTTTTTTACTAAGAATAATCATGTTTTTGGCATCATCAGAATCGAAACCGACAATTACTCTTAGATTTTAATGTTTTTTCATTTTTTCAATTTTTTTCAATTTTTTCCCCTAAAACTTCACGTCTAATTGATTTAGTTTTTGATGCGACAATGGAACTGGGCTCCACTTCTGGATACTTGCTTTACCGAAAATCGCGAACAAGATACTCGTAAAAATAGGGAGAATGAATATTGTATAGTTTAAAAATATACTCCAGTTTCTATCGAATTTCTGAAAAAAAAGAAGAAAATCTCGATAAAGTTACCAATTTGGCACATGAAACGTGTTACCAAAACATATGTTTACTCACGCTTAAGATCAATACCAGCACCAAAAAACTTCTGAATAGTTGATTCGCAGCTGCGGTAAGAGCGATGAGAATACCCGCGTAATACGGGCTCAAATCCATGTGGTTAGTCAAAAAACCACTGCACTGAAAGCTGATTAATCCTCTCAAAATGAGCCACACGCATGCCCAAAAGATAGAAACATTTTCATCTCGCTCGAATGACATCAGTATTATAAATCCTGCCATTGGCACACACGTAGCGAGGAAGTTGAAAATTTTTCGCGCTTCGAATCTTGTCAAACGATTTCGCGCCACAAGTACATCCGACAGCCAGCCCGAGCCCACCCCACCCAGCAGCAAGATCGACATCGTCAGGGATGTGCTCTTAGCGACAAACAGCGCGTCCCGTAATTCGTACGGATACTCGAAAAGGGCCAATTCATGCAAATCGAAGAAAGTCCCATGAGACCCTATCAAAGTCCAGACGGGCCACGACGACAGTATCGATCTCCATGGTATTCGTGGCTTGAACCACGGAGCTTCATTCACGAATTGCGGGTCGTAGTTCGATACCACACACAAGTACAAGAAAGCCCAGATCACAACGAAATATCTGAGAATAATGTATGTTCGGTCGTGTACCGAGTCGTCAGTTTTGATTATATTTGTAAGGAGCGCAATACCAAGAATAAAGAGTGCGACCAAGTGCTTCGCGGATAAAACCACCGAGGCTGAAAGCAAACGAGGATTATTTATAATAGTCCTGATAGATATCGTTCACAAATATGTGTATGAATTTGTTGAAGCTTACCAGCAGTCGTCCGATACCTAGACGATATCATGCGCGACAAGAGCACGTAAACGCACGGTAGAACCGGCGCTTCGCTTAGCCCATAAAGTAAATGAATCAATATGCTTAACCGGGAGCCTGGATCCGTCTTGATGAGAGCAATTTTTGGGACTGTTTGAATCGCGTTCAATACACCGATGCTGGCAAGGCTCAGCCATAAAAGTGTCCTGGCGCTCCAATTGGTGGCTATTATACCAGCTGGTACTATCGTCAGAACGTAACTCAACGTGTATGCGAAGTACGAGTAAGCGAAATCTGTAAAATAAGTAACTTTAACCCATTGTCGCGGTCAACTGATCAAAAGAAAAGATCATAATTACCGTTGGAGAGATGCAGAGAACTTGCTGGGACGAAGAAGCCAATGTGTAAATAATGGGAGTGATAGAATATCAATACTGCAAAAAATAGCATCAAGATCTGAAGTGCTGGGTGGCACTTAGCATCTGAAAAATAATAAAGTTTGTCATGCAATCATTTTTTGTGAATCAGTTAACAATTTTCAATTCTAGAGCGTAATTAAACACTTTTCAATATCCTCAGACTTAAATGAACATATTATGTCCGTACTTACTTTTTGATCTACGGGGAATCTTTCACACTGAATTTAAGCAAAACTAATTAATGTACTTTATTGTGTAGAGCAAGATCTTGAAAAATCACTTAATATGGATTTATTTAAAATGATTTAAACTTTGTTTGATTCCCAAAAAAATTTGAAAGAAAACCCACAATCATTTTGAATTAGCTCAATTTTTTACTAAATAATGACATTTATTGTTTTTGCGGTAAAAGATTACCGAATCAATATGTCATATGACATATAATTATCTAATTACTGGTTTTCAGATTAGTAAATACGAGCTGACAATAGACCGTATCTGTAAAAGCGCTCTTATCAATACTAATTAATTGTTTTGGGAAAAAACATAGCAGATTATTTTCAAACATTTTTCTAAACAATGAATACACGAAATGAAATCACAAAAACCAAAAAAAATATGATTCACGAATAATAATAGATCATTGATAACAGTGGATCAATTGCAAGTACGACTAATTGTTAAAAAATGATTTTAGTGTAGTAAAAAATAAATTAAGAATTTCAAGTTTCAGATAAGTTCATATTAAAATGCAATAAAAAATTTTAAAAAAAGGTGTCACGCGATTTAAGATTAAAAAGTATTACAAAGTTTTTTTCGACTTATAGTCAAGATTTTATGAAAGTAATAGATAATCAATTAGGTTTGTGATTTATTTTTCTATGCATTAATATACAAAAGCCACGCAGGAATGGCTGTACCTCAGAGAAAAGTAAAAAATTTGGAATTTATAAAAATGCGACGAAAATGGGAAGGAAAATCCTTTCCAAAAATTTAATAGTATAATTTTTTCGATTTTAGGCTACCTTTCGCCCTTAAATAATAAATCTTAGTGTTACATTTTAAATCAATCGAACTTTTAGTATTTGAAATACAATTTTTAGAAAAAGAATTCATTCTTCCTCTTACAAAGCTATGTAACCCCCCCTCAGAATCATTTTACAAAAATGACAATATTTATGAGGGATATAATTTTTACTAATGAATTTAATCGAAAAGAATATATTTGATTTACCTTTATGCTTGTAAACTAGTGGATTTGAAGTCATGATTTCGCTCGACCTCCGCGACAACGTTTCCTTGGCGACGTACACGCCACTGAAAGATGTACACGGAATAATGCTCTTATCACTTATTCGTGTAGTTTTATACAAAAAAGACACTTATCTTAAGCTGGCTCGTCAGTAATCATAACAATAGTACAGCGAGGCGTATGTCTGTCTCTTTCTCGCACTAGGCAGGCAACCGCGAGCACTATTCGAAATCAATGATTTTAACGCACATTTTGTTCAATTGCGCATTAGTTAGTTCGATAAGGGGTAATTTTTAATATACGAATCGAAAGTTAGTGACTTGAAGCAAAACATACTCGTTTTTGGTTAAGATCTGTTGTTTAATAAAAAAAGTTATTGTTTAATACAATGTATGAAATTATGAAGAGCCCAAGTTAAATTTGCTATTTTCAACGTCTCCGTTCTCAAAAATTAGTTCGATAAGCCATGCTGAAATTTCTACAGCATATCAAGGGCACTTTAAATGACATTTCTGCAAAGTTTCATAAACATCTGTTGTCGACCCGTTTTACTGATGAACCACCTTAAAATATAAAATATATATATTGCTGTAGGTGAGGCACCGGGTCGACTCTCGATCTCCTTGCTCGTTGCTCGCTGGATCGCTGCTGAGTCGTCCGCCCGTCTTGCGCTGCTACAGAAACTCCTGGGTCTCGGCTAGGAGGGAATGGTGAATGGGAGGGAGGTGAAATAATTAGATGAGATTCCCTTTTCAAAGAACTCTGTTTATTAAGCCACCTCTCTTTCGCCTCTCTCGAGGCTTCCGACGAGACAAGTCTTTCTCGGGTCTATATGACGCCCAGACTTAACAATCTTACTTGCGTGAACCGTACTTTTACTCCGTGCCACCTAGCGGCGACACGGCTCATTACAATACATACAACAATATATGAATCCCGTTAGGATATAAATGACATTTTGTCTGTAGGAGCTGCTTAGATAACGAATTACTTGACACCTTGATATTTTCAACACATCTCTTTACTCTTCGAAAGTACACATTTTAAGAAAAAAATTTTTTTTTGACCATTACGCTAACTATGGCTTGGCCCATATACATATGCAAGTACTACTTGTGGGAGCTTCCATCTAAAGAGAAGAGCAGGGAGAGAGGGAGAGAGAGGAAAAAACTGTATCGCTCTCACTACCGCAGTTGAACAATAATAATGCCTTCCGATATAAAATAAAACTCGTCTATAATAATTGATCGGTACGCGTCTCTTTCTCTCTTTCTCTCTTATAAGCTGTTATTACGGCGTTGAATATGTTTTTGCCGCCGTGTACGTATACACTGCATCGCAATATATCCAGATGGTAATTCAAGAATATCAAAAAGTCGCCTCCGGAGAAAAAGTGAGAGAGAAAGAGGGAGACAGACGCTGAACACCATGTACCTTACGGCTCGCGCTTCGGCCAGAATTCGATCTCTATTGCGGAGGAGGCGAAGGAGACGGAGGAGGAAAACGAACGACGATCCTCATGGCATTACGTCAGGATAAATACACCCGCGGCTCGTCGACATCATTCCGGGCTCCGCTCGCTCTTTCTCTCGGCTTAATTTTCACATGATCGTGGCGCGCTGGCAGTGGCGGCGCGAGAGAGAAGGAGAGAAAGAACGAAAGAGAGCGCACCCGATGTATCGTATTACCCAATCACGCTTTATGCGCGTACGAATATTATATCCTGCTGCAGCTCGTGCATGCGTGTGTGTGTGTGTGTGTGCAAGTGCAGTGTACGCGATGATGATCGGGGCCCAGTTTTCGGCCGTACGAATTCATACGCGTTTCGTAAGAGTCGCGTGTGTCGTTGACGTTTCTCGCGCTCGGACACTGTATACATACGACTGGAGACTCGATCGCGAATACGTATAACGTTTCTCGATCTCTTTTTGCGGTAGATACGCTAATTTTGTTTCCACCTGTTTTTTTCTCTTTCTTTTTTATCTCTGCGGCGACTCGATCTTACAAGCGCGAATCGTATCACATTGTATATGAATTTTGACGGATCGTTCCTTTGGACGTTTCGCGCGATATCGTTTCGTGAGTACAGTATATGGATCGGTGTATGGATCGAGCTCGAGAGAGATGCACCGCTTCAGAGTGCGTTTTATGAAGAGACTGGCCACGAGTATCAGGGATTCTTTTCTTGTCCAACGGCAGCTCTCGTCGGATACGTGTATCGCAAAAAATGACTATACACGGAACGAGGCTGTAAATATATCGCTTTGGCTCTTAACCACACTCGCGGTACAGCGCACACGGATACACGTCGAATTTTGGCGCGCGCAGCGTCCCACGCATCTCCTCCTTCTTTTGCTCATTCGCCGTCGTCGTCGTCGTCGTCGTCGTCGTTGTCGAGCGCGACAAAAACATTCCCACGTATATATAAGCGCGATTATTGTAGTGAATGTGTATGTTGCATCGAGATCGGCACGCGGTGCGCTCCAAAGCGCGCGACAAGCGCATAAAGCTGCTTTAATACACGCGCACTCGTGTACGAAGCCACAGAAGAATAAAGAAGCCAACCCGTCAACCCCCCGAGATTGTGTGTAGTGAGAGATGAGAGAGAGGACGAGAGGAGAAGGAGTTAGAGGAGGCATTACGCTTAATTGCTTTAACGAGCTGCCGAAAGTTAATGGCAGGAGCGGCCACGTGAAACGCGCGGGGGCCCAGCAGCAGTAACAGCTTGGGTTAATTTTTCGGTAGCCGGAAATCTCGGGATGCTACCTATAAACTGGATGCGTTCTTTCCTTGACTGGGACCCAAGAGAGAGAGAGAGAGAGAGAGAGAGAGAGAGAGAGAGAGAGAGAGAGAATGTGCGCTTGGGTCCACACTCCACACTAGCCGAGACAAACCGCTTGTTAAATCACGAGAGAGACACAGAGAAGTGCTTTTTATTAAAGGCGCAAAAGGTGCCGAAAATTCCGGGCAGAGCCGCGTCCTGCGCTTATAATACACTGCTGGCTCTCACCATCTATATAACTTCGAGTTCGTGTGCAAAGAGAAAGACCCGCAGCGGGTCGAGAGGTGATCGATTAATTAATCGATATCGTATTGGCCCATTATTTTATCGGTCTCGGAGATTCGCGTGGGCCTTTCGATAATGTTCATTATCACTCAGTTGTTCACACTCGAACACACGTGGTATTATTCATTTCTTGCTTGTACTTCTGTTTTCTAGTTATTTACCTACTATGACCACTAGATGGCGTATGCCTTCGCGTAAACGACACAGTCAAACTTATATGTTAAGTTATTGTAACTAGTCATATGGAACGATAACGGTTTAGCCAATAGAAGGCTAGAAGTTGAAACATTTATAACTTATTTTCAAACCTGTAACGAAAGTCCTTATGAGAGCACGCTATAGTTAGGCACGTTATATACAAAAAATCGTAACTCTACAGCGTTTAATTACCCAGCCGTCTATAGATTAAACGCGAAAAATTTACTCGTGCCTGAAAATAAAACTGCGTTCGCGAGCTTTATTCGCCGCGTTCTTTTCGACCGCAAATTTTCGACCTTTTGTCGTCGACTGCACGTCAATTGACGTATCTCCGAGTCGAATAGCTTACATACTTTTGATCAATTAAAAAATGACGTATCGTTAACGAGACCCGAGCGAAACGATTCATGAATAAAATATCGATTAAAAATATATAAATCGTTTTTATAATATACATATCCTAAGCTTGCAAGCGCATGTGTCTGAACGCGCACTCGATGATCCGGTTCTGAGTCATGTACGTACGTATACGCGCGTCTATCGATATATATAATTAAAATACAGAGTCCTGACAATTGATACTCATTTATTTATGTATAGAGTTAATGAACAGTATCTTCATTTATTCCTCGACCTCATCAGTGTCAATCAAACTGCTGTTGCTGCTGCTGCTGCTGCTGTTGGAAGAGCTGTACGCGATCATCGTCAGCTACAGAGTGCACGATGCATACAATATATAAATGATATAAGTACGCGTGCTTGGAATTCAAAGTTTGTTATATAAATTTTTTCGCCCTTTTCCAAGCGCAGCCCTTCGTGCGTACCGCGCGTATACGCGATGATAATTACTTAATTAGAAATATAAACGCTCGCGATTTTTTGTTTGTTATTAGCTGCGCGTCTGCAGCGAAAGAGTATATAATTTTTCGATACCTCGAGAGACGCGAGACTGCATCATATGCATGCTGTACGATGAACCGAAAAGTCTCGTCTCCGTCGACGTCGAGCAAATGTAATAATAATAGTTCGCGCCAGCAGAAGCACGTGCGGTACACGCGTGTATCCTTTTATATACACACACACACATTATAATATGCACTAGTCAGAGCGACGGAGACTAGTTGTTCTTTTACATTCGCAAAAGAGTACGAGTCAGCGGCAGTCCAAAGAAGTTGCATACATAGATAAGCAAAAAGACAGAGAGAGAGAGAGAGAGAGAGAGAGGCGCACACGAGAGGAAAAGCACAGGAAGCGAGAGGTAAACAGTGGCAAGCAGCCTGGGCACATGCAAAAGTGCACGAGGATGTGCGTGACGTTGCAAAACGCGCAGTGCACGATCATGGACTCGTACTGTCAGACACACATACGTATTTCTCTCTCTCTCTCTTTCTCTCGATGGTACATAATGTGTCCAGTAAAAGTGCAAAAATGACGATTTTAAAGCTGCTGCGTACAAGATCGTTGCTACCTGCGCAGCTCGTATACGTTGTTTTTTTCCCCTACGCCAAACGAGCTTAGTAGCTCGCGCACGAGCTCGTTTTTAGTCGCTTCAAAAGCTAATCGAATAATCAAAATTCATAGCCGGGTGGCACGTACACAGCTTACGCGCAGGATGTGTGTTGCCGGCAATATTGAAAGTTAATTTGTAGTTTTAAGAGCGCCGGGTAATAATTAATTGCTCGGGAGCTCGTGTGCGAGCGGCTAATTCGCTTATACTTGTAACTTTTTGCACGGCGGCGGCGGCTCATGTTGGATTAGTCTGTCTCGCGCTCGTGTGTATACAGAAGAAAATCAGCTGTAAAGGTAAAACTACAATTTGTTTGCGTAAAAAAGCACCAGTCTATACAGTAGTAGTACGGTGGTATGTTCTTCGTGTACACTCGGACGGGCGTTGCGTGCTATATAGCTGCGCGTTCGAAACGTATATTAAAGCCATCATCGAGAAGCTCCATTATAACTACCTGCAGCTTGTAATATATATTTGAGAAGTTTTGTAACAAAAAAAAAACCAAGTATTTACTACACGCTTGACGGCTGCTTTAATCGGATTTTTATTTTCCCGGAACTGGTATTTTCCTAATTTTACGTTGCTAAGTTTAGCTGTGTATGGATCTAACAGTATATAGTCGAGTTTGATTTGCGAAAAGTGGATGATTCGATGGCATGGCGGTTGTACCATGGTCAATATCACGCGTGGCATGTGCTTTATTTATTCTTTGAGAAATAATACCTAAATACACTCGAGTGTATTCACTCGAGCTCTGCGACGGAATCGTGATTTTTTGCAACTTACTCGTATGCACTGATAATCTGGGCTCTGTATTTTTTAAATAATGAATTAAATCCCATCTATTTATTTATATACTCAAGTAGAAAATTAATTTTATCAATATTATTTTATATGTTATACAAATTTACATTGTTACACAATGTTAATCTGACACACTATCAAAATACTTCAAGATTCAAAATAAAGATATTGATTTATAATTTCTCAACATTGTTTTCTGGAATAAAAAATAATAAAAAGTTTAGGAACATTTATAAAAACTATAATTTTGAAGGTACAAAAAATGAAAAATACCTTTAGTAATTCATATCAATTGCACATTTTGGCTCTGTTTTCTTCCGCCAGGATTTCACCCGCCTTACATATTTCAAACAAATCCTCGTTCTTCAACTCGTCGATGATTTTCTCGCAGCAGAGAATCGGTAGTTTGTGGCGCGTCAACTCCTGGAAAGGATCCTGTGCCAACCTTCGCACGTATCCTCTCGACATTTTTTCGCACAGGTGCGTCAAGCAGATATCGAGATATTTTTTAGGGATTTCATCCAAGTTGTTCGATCGCTCGATCTCGAAGTAGTTCGTGTACGTGAGCAGTTTTTCCTCCTCTTTGGGTCGCAACTGAATCAGATCGTGGAGCGACAGACTAGATGTGACGATTATCTCTTTCGCTCTGCTCGCGAACTCGTCGTCATCGCGCCAACATTTTTCCAGATCCGACGACTTTTCGAACAATCCGTACTCTTTGAATGAGTCAAGGATCGTCAGGGCGTTGTCTCGGTTCAAATCGTATCCTCTTTTCTCGAGGCGTTCGACGACGCTCAGAGCGCCAGATGCCGATCTCAATTTATCCCAACCACGAGCATTTTTTTCAAAATTCTCGCAAATATTTTCAATGGGAAAAACGAAGCGAGATAAATCGGCACCACGATCCAAGAGTACGTCGACCACATTTGGCTTGAGGCTCTCCACGGCATTTTGTAACGGTGTAAAACCAGACTCGTTTTGGGCGTCCACTTGTATCGTCGCCTGAAAGTCATCGCATATATCCAAGAACTTCTCCATCATGTCATCGTCTATTTTACGTAATGCAATATAGTACAGAGGTGTCAATCCTTTTGCGTCGACTAAATTCGGATCCCGCCTTTTCTCAGTAGAGCTTCGACCACACGCTGGGGTCCGTTTTTCAGAGCCCAGTGCAACGGTGTTTGACCAACCTCGTCTTGGGAATTGACTTGGACAGTCTACTGCATATCATCACAGACCTCAAAGAACTTTTCCAACATACCATCATTTATTTCACGCAAGTCAATGAAATGCAGAGTCGATCCTCCTTTTGGGGTGGCTAAATTCGGATCCCTCCTCTTCTCAGCAGTAATTCCATCACTTTTATGCTGGTTCCGAACGCGACCACAGTGTGAAGTGGTGTTGCATCCATATTGTTGAAGTTGTTGACGTGCACCTTTTGCTGGACGCTATATCGCTCAACTCAAAGAATTTCTCCGCCACGTCATCAAGATCACGTTCTAATATAAATTAATCCAATCGATAGGTGTCAATCTGTCATTGCTGGCTAAATTTGGATCCGCACCTCTTCTCAATAGCAATTCAGCAACATTTATTTTCTTGGTGAGCAGTGCCGACAGCAGTGGTGTCGAACCATACTGTGTCTGAGCATTGACATGTATCGGCTGATATTTGTCGTTGCTGAGCTCGAATAACATTTTCATTAAATCATAATAGACATCGTCGCCGTCGACTCCCGAGCGAATAACGTGCAGAGGAGTGTATCCATCCTTGTTAGCCAAATTCGGATCGCCCCTATTCTCAGCAGCAACTCGGCCACTTCCTTCTCGCCCAATTTCATAGCCAAGTGTAGCGGCGAGTCACCCGTTTGTCGCACGACGAAATTGGGATCCGGCCCGAATTCGAGGAATTTCTCGACGATGTTCACGTAGCCAGACATGTAGGCCACGTGTAAATGTGTCAAACCAAAATCGTCGATGTAATTTACGTCGAATCTGTCGTAAACTTTGAAAAGCTCGCGAATCTTGGATGGCGCGAACCTCGACTTTCTACTAGCCACGAGATGTAGTGGTGTGTTGCGACGCAAAATTGGTTTGCCGTCTTTATCGAGGGAGGGCTTGTGTTTGTATCCTGACCTTATTATAAAATTGACGAACTCGATGAAATTATTGTCCACGGCCCTCGTGAGCGACCACTCAATTTCTTCCTGTCCAAAAATTTCTCGGAGATCTGGAATTCGGCCCTTCCAGTTGCTAATGGAGCTGCGAATTCGACAGAAAAATTCATTTCGCTCAGCATCGATCTCTCAATCGACCTGTTTTCGTATGCTCTTCAATCTTTCTATATTTTCTTGACCCGTCTCGGAGTCAAAACTTTCGTGAGACATCTTTTTACTCACTCGCGCAGAAATACAGTATAAAGCTTAAAATGAATGAAATAAATTCTCTTTATAATCAATAAAATTCAATCAATTGATTCCGTCGTTACGATCTTTCTCGGCTGACTCTTGATACAAATTGAAGAAAATGTCAAATGGCCAATCGAGTTCGGTGTTTATGTGATGAAGAGAAAAGTATAAACACGGCTGTTACAAAACGGCTAAATGAAAATACGTGTTTTGAAATTTGTGGGAAACTTATTGTGGTTCTTAAAAATTGAACATTTTCATGAAAAATTATTAAAATTCATTGCAGATGGTAGAATACTAGATGATCTATTTTACCCAGTTTTAGCCCAGTATACTTTGACCAGGATTAAAAAAAAAAAAAAAAGATATGACATAAACATGAAGGGTGAACGCGTGAAAATTCTAAATTAAGATCATTTTATCCCCATTCGAGTAAAAATGGAAAATTGGTGCACGAAGTAGATCCGAAAAGTTAGAGCGCACAGTGATTAATAGCGATTCCGATGTTTTGGGTACGCTTTCCTAAACTCAAGTGCCCTTAGAACAGCGTGACTAAAAGTATTATGGCAGTACAAAAGTTATATTGTTCATACATTATAGACACAATCTTGGTAGCATCTCTCTCTTCTTTCTCTTTTATAAATTTTTGCCCACGTCTTCCCACCCACTTGTATACGTGCGTTGCATACGTACATACGCTTGCTACGTACTGCACTTGCGGTTACGTTCTTGTAATGCTGCCTGCTCTGCAGCAGCAGCAGGTGAGGACAGAGAGACGAAGAAAAACTACATTTTGTACCGAACGTTTGAGACGTGTGTGTGTATATAATACGCACCGACTGCAAGACGCTCGAGTTCGCGTGCTGCGACACTAGCTTGCGTGCACGAGGGCGGCTCATGCGACACACAATATCGAAGAAAGCTGCACACACGAGCGCGCGTGGTGCAAACTTCTTCTTCTTCTCTCTCACTTTCGTGCGCTGATCGCAGTTTTTTGTGGTACTTTTTTGCGTTTTTTTTTACGTACTTCCCCCGCTCCCCCCTTTTTTTGTGACTCATTTTGCGTCGATCTTGGAGGCATAAACAATCGTGAAAGAACGATTGAAAAGTAGCATGTAGGATATTCTGATTATCTTCAGTCGTGTTCAGAGAACAAGAAAGAGCTATACGCTGAAGAAAAACTGAAAATGAGCGGCACCATTAAGAAACCTTCGAAAAAAAGGCCCGTAAATACGTGTGTCAGTACCTCGTAAAAGCTCGGCGTAACATCGCATGCGCACACGTATTACACATATAAAATAAACCACAAATCCATCAAGTCGAATATAATACATACGTAAATATGAGCCCGAGCGCAGGTGCAGCTCTCTCGAACGTCGCACACGTACTATGCGCAGCTACTGCATATAGTAGCTGTGGACTTACATTATATAGTCTCTCTCTCTCTCTCACGAGTCGTGCAATAATAATTTCAGCTCGGGCTCGATGTCGCAAATTTATAGCGTGCGGGTGTGTGAGTGCATGCATATGTACGTATAGGTACGTACGATATGCATAAAGGTCCGAAAAACCGGTTCGTGGGGCCGGTGCGCGCGCTCGCGATCGTCATCGTCCTGCAGTACATCGCGCCGCACGTATAATATGCACATGCGCGTACGCAGAGCCGGGTCATCAAGGACTCGGAGCCTCAGTACGTGTCGAGTACGCAATTTTTCTTTTCCGCCTTCTTCCTCTTCTTCTTCTTCTTTTTTTCGTACTCCGAAGTAAAAATTTTACGCGCTCGAGCGAGAAGGGGTATATATGTATCGACGAATTTTTTTCACCCGCAACAAGACTTTTCTAATGCGGCCGGCTGCGCGAGTACGGCATGCGTCGACGATGGTTGTTTGCTTCCTCGCCTTAATGGGGGAAAATCCCCGCGTCGTAGCTCGATCTTGCATATTAATAATCCGTCTTGATCGATGAATCGGAGCCGAACATAAAACTTACTGCACTAAAAAGTAACGGATCGCCGTTTCGTACACATGCATACGCAGCACAGGCGCATGCCGGAAAATGAAATGTCAAAATTCAGCGAGGCTGAAGTTAATGAGTAAATTATACTGCGCCTCCTCGCTTGTACGCATAAGCGATATAATAATAATTGTTGTTTCGCCGCGAAGCCGCTTTTTTACTTTCTCAACTTTTTTTTGTTCCGATATGTATGCATTAACATTATATTAATATATAACGATAGCGGCGGGTTTCGTATACAGAGAGCCCCCGACGAGCGATGACGTACGTCTCTCACGTTTAACGAGATAATGATTAAAAGTCGAGGAATATATATATTTTGGTGTTGTACCATAACGTATTGCTGTTACGTATGTGCACGTACATACGAGCGCAAAATATTACATGGTTCGCTTCTTTTTTTCTTCTCTGTTTACAGCTAAATATTCAATTTGTTAGAGAAGCGCGAAATGCGACGGAGAGATAATATTGCTGAACGTTTGAGCGAGAATCACCCGCAAGCATTACTGTGGTGAATACACAATATACGTTTGCGATCATCGGATCTCTGCAATGTACAATAATTTTTTAAATATATCAGATCTTTTTCAACGTGAATAGTTGAGTTATTTATGCATATTTTAGAATGGTTAATTTCATTGTAATGAAATATATCATTTATAGAAATCATAAGCAGATCAATACGTAATTTATTCAATAATAAACAGTGACTAGGTGTTGCTCAATCAACATTAGTTTCAATCATCACATGAAGATTTGTAAATATTATTAAATTTAACTTAGTTAGTTTGATGTGTAACTCTGCTGCGGAAAGATTAACCGCTGACAATATTGTAAGTGAGGAACATGAAAATTCCAGCGGTATATTTGACTGTGCTTCCAGGTAATTTTTTATTTATGAGAATGCAACCATAAAAATTATCGATAGATACTACTTCATAAGATTGATGAATTTAGCGGGCTTCAATACAATTTGAATTTACCTCATGTGCGCTAACGTTAATGAAAAAAACCATTCAAGGGCTGAAAAGTTGACTCGATCCAATTAAAGCATAATCCAAAAGTTGAATTGACAAAATCTGGACACGCATCTCATTAAGAGCCTTTTATATGGCAAAACTCACAACATACGCAATGAGCTTAGGCGTTACAATGAATATATATCACGCAGTATGGCATACGCCACGTATAATAATATATACGTACACCGGAGACGGCGGCGGCGCAAGTATACTATAAACAACATGAATGAGATATCGTAACCGCCCGCGGTCACCCGTAAGAAAGTGTTGCTCGCTTATATTATACGCGAGCTCTTATATACACATACGCAAAGCACGTGTACGATCGCGACCTCCTCTCGTAGCCGTTAGAATCGCGCATTGCGCTACTGAATTGCAACGGTAGCTGCTGCTCGTCGTATACATAATATATAAATACACCAGCGATAGACGTTTCCCCGTTGTATCATACTAGCTTTTACCCGGGCACCCCATTTTTTGTTATTATTTACCGCTGTAGTTTTTCGAAAATATTGTTCTTAAAAGAGGCTGAAAAAGGTTCGAGCTTGTGAGTCGTTTATTCGCGACGCTTCTCACTCTCGCTCGCGCACACGCGTATAATATAATATTCATAATAAAAATACGTCTTATACATTAGCGAAGGCTTTGCGAGTAAAAATCTTGGGACTTTTAGCACCATCGGCCCGCGGATGCATTAATACCGCGACGTTTCATATACATACATATATATAATGTCTCCCGCGGTGGCGCGTGTAACCGAGCGAGAAATTAATTTGTGCCGAGGTACTCCTCACCCGCGTACATATTATATTTATAATACGTACCTGCTAGTATGCTGTATTGCGCGTATATAGTAGCGTCGAGGAGTGCGTGCCTCGAACGAGTAATTATTAATTAGTCGACGGGGGCACATTTGCTGCGCAGCGCCGTATCCTCGCGGCTGCGGCAGCAACAGCTCTCGCGAGGCTCCAATTAGGAGGACGAGGAGACGCATCAGCTCCTCTAAGATCCTCGAGTCTCCGATGACTCGATGATATTTTGCCGCGCTATATACGCAGAGCTGAATCAACTCGATGTCGATCGAGTATTAAAAACGTGATTCGAATGTCGATACGCGTAATATACACACACGCACGGGCAGCAGCAGCAGCGCGCGTAAAAAGATGAAATGAGCTGGGCTCGCGAGGGAGCTGCTTCTCCTGGTATATAGTTTATAGCGCATGACTCGTGTACGCATTATCATATTTGAGAAAGGATCCGCATGTGGCGCACGTGTCGACTGTGGCGTAGGCGCAAAGAATGCGGTGCGCTCGCATTTTTGTATCGGCTGCGCTTCGTTCGACTCTCTTCTCTTTTCTCTTCATCCTCTCGCAGAAAACATTAGTCGACAGAGGGATAGAGGAGGACCTCAGACGCAATTTTTTCCGCGTGTACATACGTGCGATATGTGTCGCGCCGCCGCACGATGATATTCAGATCACATGGGCTTAGGGGCAGAAAACCTGACCCGTTCGTTTGTCATAATTCAATGGTCGTACGAGTACGCGTAGAAAAAAGACGATCGACGACGCACGTCAATCAACGATCGGCGTTTTACGTGCTTATACGCATATCATGTGCGCGTGAACTTGGAATATACGTCTCTCTTTGCGATTCGAGCGATATTTGGAATGCGCAGGACGGCCATGTGAAACGATCGATTATGTTCAAATTTAGATAGATCCAAACGAAAATTCAATCATATTCTAAATTTATTAAATTCGTGCTTTACTTATATACAATTATTTGTACTCTGCCACTTGCAGATTTACAGATGAAGGTACTCGCCATCTTGCGGTAAAATTTGGCATTAATATTTCGATTCAGTTTTTATTTCATACACATATAATGTGAAGTTTATGAAAAAAATCAATACTTGTACATTCATTTTATTTTTCTTTACTTTAATTTAAATGTCTGACTTTTCACATTATATCTATATTAAATTTGAGGCTTTTTCAAGACTGTAGACAAAACTAATAAGCGATGTTCAACTTGTTCTCTATGCCAATTCAAA